TGTATAATGTATGCCACTTCCTGACTGATTGGAGTAGTCGTAGGTCAATAATATCCATCACCAGAGTTTGTTAGTCAAACTGAAGTACTTTAAACAACAGACCCTCATTTCTCTTATTTGCAGTGGAAAAATACCATTATTGTACTTGGACAGGGTTTTCTCAGAGAGAATTTAATAACTCAAACTACCTTAATTTTTGATATCCAATTGGAGGAACCAGCAATGTAGAATATTTGTTCACATCACCAAAAAACATACTGAGTAGTTTGTGTTCCATAGACCCCATACTGATGATAACACCTACACTTTTCAGCAAATCTCACATTCTGGTTTGAATACTTCGATTATATATTTTTATCCCACTTAGTTGTACCCTTCTCATTTTGAAGTGTTGTATTTTGTTAGACAAATCTGATTCCATTATATGATATGATTTTGACCTTTAAAGTGTAGTGTATGTGAAAAATTTGTGATGCAACAGGGTGAAGTTAAACAATGACACTTCCTATTTATGAACCATTAACCTCTGCATCTGAATGTGATCCAGCCCTCTTATCAACTTCAACAATTGCCCATATTTCACTAAAACCAGTATGTCAGACTATCATATGATTGACTAAATGATTTTAGGCTATTGCCTATTATATTGACTGTAGATATTCTCTTCCCCTTTGGTCATATTAAAACCCAGTGCTTGCTTTTATAAAATGTAAATGTCTGCTATAATTTTGTGAGAATTGTTACTTTTTGCAAAAAAAATCTTCCCATTACAGCCGTTAAACTCAAACTGTCATTGTAATTTAAACTTACCTAGTTGTTTCTTCCCCGTCTAAACAAAGGTAATTTTACCACATAAAAAAGTACGAAATTTTAGTCTCAAAGCAAACATAAGTGTACTGTCGAGATTGCCTCCTAGCTTAACTTATGTATTTACGGTCTTCATGCTTAGATTTATGTGTACACTATTCGACAGGGAGGAGTAAAACAAAATTTTATTGAAAAGTATAAAAATGATCAGTAGTCTCATCTTTTTTCGCTTTGACAAGTCAAATTTACTCCAGATTAACAAGTGTGTGTGTGTGTGTGTGTATTTACACATCTTTTTAAATATACTTCGTTAAGTCTTTTTCTCCTTTTTTCTCTCTGGTTTTTGCCTCATGAATAATTCTAAAACCTTTTTCTTTAGCCAATTTCTCATTCAAATCATTTTCTTTATCCACTGGTTCATTTTCTATTCTCTGATTTCATCATTGTTTGCAATAACCTCCTATATACATATGAGAACTGTGATTTTACAAACAGATGAAGAAAAGTCAAAAAATGTTGACAACTGGAGTCCAGTGAACCTTAACTAGTTAAGGAGTAACATGCAATCTACGGTTCATTTTTGCTTTAGGTTAGGGGTGTACATCAAAAAGAATCGTAGAATAGGATGCAACAACTTTTCAATGGTTCACTGGCTAATGTCTGTATATGCTAAACTAAGTGCTACGTGAAATAAAACTACTAACTTCATTTGTAATTCTACGGTCATCATTAGTTCATCTCCAACAGTCATAACCGACTGAAAATATAATCCCCAATAAGTGACTGTTGGAAATTAGCATTAGGCTGATATCGCTTCCGTTTGTCGACATTGCGAAATGACTTTCAGTGTTTTCTCTACAGGATATGAAGATGGCAAACTTCAACCGATAATTAGTAAGTAGATGCTTACAAAAAGTTATTTTTTATCATTTCTTCAATTGTGACCACTGGTTGCCCTTACTACTGAAACGTACTCTATCCTTGTAATCTGTACTTTTCTATAAAGGATAGACCACCACAAGCTGTTAACAAGGGAGGCATAAATTATTTCAGTATTTTAGTTCACATGCTTTAAAGGAAAAACTCTTTGATAAAAAGTATGTTTTCATAGGTTATACAGGGACATAGACAGATTATACATGAGTCAGTCTGCCTATGTTCGATTTAAAACTTGCTTTCAGTGTGTTGTCATTTATCTAAAGGAGAAGTCACCAGATATTATAATGATCTTGGTGAATAGCAGAGGAATCCTGGACGCGCGTCCCGTCCTATTTGGGACTGGTCAGCCGGATGTACCTGCACTCCAGTTCCGGGTGATTTTATTCCCACCGAGGCTCGAACCCAGTGCCTTCGCTTCAACCACCATAGCGCTATCCACTAAGCCACTGGGGCACGTTAGCCACATCTTGTGCGATGGGTGTCAGTTGTTGTAATGATACTTGTAATTTCCGGTTGATATACAGAGCTGAATTGTTTGACCTCTGCTGGCAGATGGAGTGCAGGCACATCCAACTGACCAGTCTTGGATAAAACGGAACGCGCGTTCTGGATTCATCTGCTAGTCACTAAAATTAATATAACATCACGAACATCCGGTGATATCGAGGCACCCGCATACGAACCCATCTACCGTCAGAGGTAGAGCTATTTGGCCCTGTATAGCAACCGGGAATCACCAGTACCATTACTACAAGTGGTCAGATATTTCATTCATTAAGGCCCATTGTTTTTAGTCTCTATAACTCATGCTGACCTCCACTTTTATGTAGATTTCTTGATTTCTGTATTTATGAAACTAACTTATTTCTTATAGAGAGAATTATCCAGCGAACTAATTTAAACTGGCTGTACTAGTTTGACAATAAAGTCTTCGAACCCAGCAGGGAGTGATGCAGACTTAAACGCCTTCTTCAACAGGAATCATGCTTGGTTTACTGGGCACTTTACAAACTTGATCACAGTAAACCTCAATGACTTGACAGTTATATCGGTAACTGTGCAGTAGACTATTCATATACCCGTAAAACTTTAAAACAAAGAATAGATTTTCTCTATAAATAAACTAAAAAGTTATTTATCAGCCGTTCTACTTTTTTCAGTTTTTCTTGCCAACAACACTTTGAGTAGTCTGAGTGAAGTAAGAATAGAATCATTGAACTTAAGAGGACACAGAATCTCAGTAATTGCATATAGCATCTATAAACTACCGAAATCACACAGTATGATGAAACCAGTGATAATTAGTGTGTGCATTTTGAGGCGCCTGAGATGAAAGGAATCAGTAATTGAAGACTCTTAGTGACATAACTTAAAATTGGTCACAGTGGAGGTGTATTCACTCATTGACGTCTTCCAAAACAGGAATATTTGCACTAACCTTCATCTTCAAACTGTTTATTCTCTCACACCACTTTGTCTACTTTGATATCAGTCTTTTTCTATCCACCTATTCATTATGTACCACTGTGAATTGTGGCAACTTGAGCCGCTGCATATTTTTGCGATTTTCTACGTTGATTCTGTCTGTCAATTTAGTCATCACTAAAAAACATGTAAAAGGTGTATTAAAAAACTATTACTATTTGCTTAATAATCAGACCATCTGACATGGTCTTGGTTCAACAAACTGATATTACTGCAACCAGATGATGACTGAAAATGAAATAAAAACCTGGTTTGCAGTAAGATTCTGAGTAACGGCCTTCGGGTTACTGGCCCAAGGCAGACCCGGCTAGGCAATCAGTGTAAATAAGAGGAACGGAAATGTATGTATCATGGATTCAAGCGACAGGGGATGAAATCCTCGTTAAATGAATTGAAGTCGAAACCTGGTTTGTAGCTAGTTCTCATATTTCTGTTGGTAAAGTGTGTGGCCGGGATTTCAGAGTCCGTTGGTTCAATTCCTACCATAAATCAGGCTTTCATTTCACCTTCAGTCATCAACTAGTAACAATTAAAATTTGTATTATGCAACTTTTTGTAAACAAAATTGTGGTCCCCTTCTAAAACACACTCAATTAGTCAGTGACTAACAAAAGTGAGAATTTCTTTCTCTAAGATCAACATTTATCATATGTGTAGTACACACTAATCAAAACAGAAATTAATGTTTAATTCAACCCTTGAGAATAATACTATATCAATCTTAAATAAAATGTGTAAAGAAGACTAGTTTCTCATGGGAACAGCAAGCCAGCTAGAGAGAGATGCAATCACAAAAGATAGGGATAAAATTCTAAGAAACAAATTTCGCAATCTCGTATCTTGGCTAATTAATCATTCTTTTTTTCGAATATTCTGCAATCTATTCTCTTAACTGCTTCTGTTGCATGATCTGCAGGTTAATCATAGAATATGATGAATAATTTAGTGAACAAATAGACAGACAAAATCAACGTAGAAAATCGCAAAAATATGCAGCGGCTCAAGTTGCCACAATTCACAGTGGTACATAATGAACAGGTGGATAGAAAAAGACTGATATCAAAGTAGACAAAGTGGTGTGAGAGAATAAACAGTTTGAAGATGAAGGTTAGTGCAAATATTCCTGTTTTGGAAGACGTCAATGAGTGAATACACCTCCACTGTGACCAATTTTAAGTCATGTCACTAAGAGTCTTCAATTACTGATTCCTTTCATTTGGGGGCCCTAACAAGGCAGTCTACGTCTCCCCATACCTCTCAGATTAACAGTAAGGGACTTCGTTGACTGGTGCCACATCTTGGTCTAACCACCCTGAAATTTATTCCAACCCAACTTCCTCTAACATCGCATGTCAATGTATTCGGTGGTTTGGCATGCACAGCGTATGTCTCAGCCATCTCAGCCGATGAAAGTTCACAACCTAATCAGTCGACCTGACCATCTTGCGTAGTACCCTTCGCCTGACTAAAAAGATAGGAGCTTCATCACTGCGCAGAATGTATGTAGCGAAGAAATGTACTGAATATATTGTTACATATTTGAAGGTTATTTCAAAGAAACCATAGTTAAGAACATAGCTCTTCTAGAAACTGACTGGTCAGAACCGTCTAGAATTTCGAAAAAGTTCTTGAGTTAGTTCACATGTGCATCGCTTTGACATCACAATGAACGTTTAAACTCTGGGCTTGTTATTAATATCAGTTAAGCATATATTTGATGAAAATAAAACCGAAGCGTAAAACAAATCGCTGTTCAATGAACTGCTTACACATCCACGTGTTTAGGTGGTCAGAAAGGCAGACGACTGAATCCCAGCTGAGTATACTGGATGACATAAATCATATCTAGCTGAAGAGTTGTTTTTCTCCGGACATTTGAAGTATTCTGTTCCAGATGAGAAAATAGAACATAGTGAGACATGTTTTGAGTGCATTCACAAGTAAGCAGTGAATAATAACAGTCAAAAGTACCAGGAACAGCTCAGAAAATGCAAGATTCATGTGGTTATGGTAACAGTCAAAGTCAGGCGGAGGAGATAATGACAGTTAATACCTTCCTTTTACATCACTTGTTTGTGAAAAGAACCACGTCAATATGCAGATGATTGTCTTAATTCATGAGTATTCTTGCTTGAGGTTAAGGTAAGAAGAAAATAATGACAATTAAAGTTCACTGCCGTAGCGCTCAGACATTAAGGCATGTTTCAAGCGACTTCAATAAATACCCTTACTCTTGTCTGGTTCCTAAGTTTGGAAATCATAAAAAAGTTTAAGGCAAGTCAATTCGGTTGAAGATTGATTTCATTCAGTAGATGTAAAAACACTGACTGGCTGATTATTGCGATGCAGAGGTTTCGGACTTGGGGCCCTAGGGGGATCGATTCTAACACTAGTCAAAAGTGTGCAGTGGCCGGACATTATCACCACAAATTTCATGTCTGCTCAATTTACAGTTATAGCAATTAAACATTATCTTAACTTAAAAGTAATACACCTTTCGAAAGTTGAACATAAAGGAACTTTCGATGATGAAGAAACTACAATTACTTGATTTTAACTGGTCACGAAAGTCTAAGAGATCTCTTTGTGTCTGAATCAACGGATCCATCGAAAGATGCAAGTTGTGATACAATATTTCTGTTGTTGATTGTAGACGACAACATGATTCGAACCAGTGGCCTACTGACTCACCTACAATGCTCAATTATCAATCATATCTCAATTTTCGTTGATAACTAACGGTTTTACTGACTGGTTATATTTTGGATAGTCTAACCAAAAGTGAGTCAGTTAATTTTTCTTCACAATTTTTCTTAGTCTTGATCTAGACTTGGATACCTCAGTTAGGCTTCTAATGTGAGGATGAATAAGAGAGAGTCAAATATCGCACAAATCCCTACAATAATCCCATGAACTGATGGTCATGTATGATGGATTCCAATGGCAGCATGGCCAAACTGTAGATGATTCAGGGGAATTTAACATCTAGACAGCAGTTAGGTTTCGTATCTCACTTGCTAGAGTGCCCGGTCAGCAATTCGTAGGCCATTCAATTGAATCCTGCCGTAAATTAGGTTTTCATTTTGTCTTCAATCATCCCACAGTACCAAAAACAATGTAACCCCTTTTTCCACCTTGAGCTTGTTATTCTCCTAGATAAGATCTAACCATGCAAAACTTCTGGTTATTGAAGTGATGCAATCAATTAGAAGTGTTTTGAATTTCACTTTCTTTTTGTCCACACATGTATGCAGAAGCACTGAACATGTAATTTCCACTTGAAGAATTGAAACTGTGTTTATTAGAGTAATACTAATGAAGTACTAGATAGTTGGAGGCAATCTGCAGAAAGCTTTGGACCAAGGTTTCATGCTTTTTGGCAGTCATTAGCAAGGCATCTCTGCAGCCTCAAAAGAACTGTTGGGTTTGTTAGTCAACAGTCATCTGCCATTATTAACAGCCTAATATTGGCTGATTTTTGCAAGAACAGCTGATACAAGCATTTTAGAAAGCATAAAACCACTGTAATAAAACATTCAAATAATTATCTTTCTGTTATATGATAAAACTGTCTCCCGCGTTTAAATTTCATCCTTGTGTAACAATTTCCCGCTGGAATACAAACTTATGCAGCCAAAGATATTTGAGTTATTCATGTAAAGTTAACTGACCAGTAGGTAAACACTACTGAGAAGGCTAGGGAGAGGGTGAAACATTTGTTTAGTGCTCTTTGGCTTACAGTGACTTTCGAGTTGATGTCAACTTATGATAAAAATCTTTCTGAAATTAGCCAATTCTTTACAAAGCAGTCAGTAGAATAAAAATCCCATACTCACTAGTGACTTGTTTTACGATGGAATTCTAGAGGTTTTTTAAGAATTCATCATGTATGGGATTACAAAAGTCGAAATTGGTGACGTCTGTCCTCAAGTAGCAGCGGAAGGTCATCATATTTTATTGCAAATAGGCAAAAATTGTGGAGTGCAAATCATCAGATGCCAACAAAGCAGCTGAATGTTTATATTCACATCACAGTTTCATCTTGGAAATGATAATGAATATCCAGAGCTAATGAGTTCACACTAGTGAAAAACAATCTTCCAGTAGTCTTACATTTTCGGTGGTTATTTAGCTCGTATCATTCAGTGATTAAGGCTACGTTGAAGTCCTAAGTTGGCTAAGTTGCGTCTAGAGTACACTTTTTGGTAAATACTATCATCGGCGTTGAAATATGCATTGTAATCCACTCTCTCTGCCAAGATATCCCTACTGGCATCTTAGGCAACAGCGTTTATATTATCACAAAATAATTTTAAAAAGAAAAAGAAAACACAGTGAAGACTTACCGGAAATTACTGAACCATTTGACTAATTGGGCTGTATTGTTTTTATAGAATTTCACATCGGGAAAATACATTTTAATAAGTGTTGAATTGGGATATCGTGTGTAGAAGAACATCAGTTTTGCCTTACGTAAGTGAACTGGTGTCAGAGTGGTTGTCTATAGTTTATTTTAATTTAAAAAAAGGAAAGAAAAAATATTTGAAGCTGTAATAAAAATGCTGTTGGAAAAAGCAAACAATTTTATTAACAACTGTTTATCTTCGTCATCCAGTGGACACCTAAAGTTGTGCTTATAACTGCGACCTTTTCCGCAATAACAGTGTCAAACTAAAACCATGAGTGTTCTATACGGGATACTGATCCACTCCTTTGTACAACATAGTAGTTGTGTTAATTTAAAAGTAGACTGTTCTAAGTTGGATCTTGTGAATTCTGTCAGATCACTGAGTTGAAATGTCTAGTTTCGCAGGCAGGTCAAACACATAAATTCTTGAATCTTTTGATGAATGATTTAGACAGTGAGTTCATTGGTCATTTACTTTAAACCTAGGCTTCGAAGTACGCGAGCTGTAGACCAATAATCTTTGGTATATTAACTTCAGTCTGACGATTATCATCCCGAACTTGTACTTAAAGTTATCGCTTCAGGGTATTACTTGTTAAGTGTCTCATGCCGAAGTGATTTGCTCCACATGTAGCAAGATAAAATAAGCGATTGAACCTTCAGTCTTCTAATCCACAGCCAAATCAATTATACCTTCTTCTCTGTGTTATGCAGCACTGAAAAGTTAGAAATCTCGTGAACACCTTTACATCAGCTTGTTTAATTGAAAACCTATTAGATAACATAAAGTGGGACTGTAAATCGAGCAGAACTTCCTTCCAGGCAGTGATTTTAAATAATATTAGGAGATTTATTGAAAAGAAATCTATCTTTTACATACTAAATAACTGAATAACATGAGGATCTCAAAAATTTTGAATGAATAACAATCTATTCTGTCTATGTATATTGTCTTCTACATATCGTTAGCTTAACTGCTAATGATTCAGTAAGCGAAAAAAAGAGTACTTTTTAAATGGTGTTGAGCTTATATTTTATCTACCTTGAGAATTAATGTTTATGGACAACGTTTCAGTCTCAGCTGTGAACGAATGTTTACAAACTTTTTCTTAGATGAACATTCTCGGTGAACAATAATATCTGTGGTCATTCAGTCTCATTGTTACAACCGTATATATCACTTTCTAGCACAAATGTTCTCCAAACTGCTATTAAAATCTCCATTGAAACCAATACCAGCTCAGAGGAAACTTTAGTCAAGGGGGAGGGGGCAGTTGCACAGACACTACACGGGTTATTTGTACCGACTAATTATATTTCCCATTGAACTAAAAGCACTGGTGGACTGTATGGGCTATCAGCCTCTTCAATAATGCCTTCATCTAGCATTTCTTGGACCTGACGGTGAACTTCTTTCAAGTGACATGGTATTCACCGTGTTATAAATGTTGTCATTGGTTGACTTGTCACCGGATTTCATGCTTAACCTTGTCACAGTATCCGTCGAGGTCTCCATCTCCCGTGAACAGTCTGTAGTATTTCTTAACCAACTTCACGATGTTTGGTGCTTCTGGGTGTGTTGCTTTTGATACCTCAACCTCTGCTACCTCGCTGTTTTCCTGCGTGGTGAAAGATCCGCACTTTGTCACTACTTTTTCTGTACCAACTTCTCTCAAAAAATCAGTACCTAGAATTGTCCATTGTGGATGCGTAGTGACGATAAATGGAAATCTAATTTTATTACTTCCGATCTCGACGATACAATTTGATAAGGCCGCGATTTTTAATGCATACCCACCAACCATGTGGAGCGTTAGCGCACATGGTCTTATTTTCCGAGATTGACTCTTATCTATCAGCGAGACTGCCGCCCTCGTATCCATTATACACACTATCTCTGTATCCTATATTCGCATTCTAGCACACACAGCACCTCTATATATGCATCGTTCCTACGACATCTAGTCTAGTCGGAAAAACAGAGCCCATATTGTATCGTTTAAAACGTTTTCTTTTTCGCCTTTCCGGACAGTTTCTTCGCCAGTGTCCCAGTTTTCCGGATGTGAAGCATTTACTCTGTCTGTTGATATTCATTCAAAGTGCAGCCACCTCCTCCTTAGGGTTATCGATTTGTTTTTTCCAGTTATTTACCTCTGGTGACTGCACCTCAGTTACTGTTGTACCTATCAGCTGTCTGGTACCTTCACCAGCTCACTAATATTCATGGATTGGACTGCATTCACTTGTCGTAGCTGCTGAACGATGGCATTCGGGAAACTTTCGGTGAACTGTGCCTGGGAGTCCTCATCGGAAGTGGGAAGTGGTTGTCGAAGTGGTTTTGTCAACTTCACAGTCAATACCAGTGGATCTTCGTCTATTCCAAGTTTCGTGCTCCGGAACTGCTACATCGCCAGCTCTCTGTCCTCTGGGCTGTCAAACTCCGCTTCCAGTCGTTCAACCATTCTCTCCCAAATATCCTTCCCATCCACACGTTCCACACTGTCATATGCTGCTTTCGCTCTACTCGTCAGCAATGTGCCAAGCAGCAAGGCCTTCACTCCTAGATCCCGGACACCCGCCAGCTTTGCGACCGACTAAAAATCCCTGAGGAAGACCTTGATGTCTCCATCCTGGAACACTGCAGGCCACGAAATCTTCATCACATCCAGAAGCAGCGCCATCAGCTGAGGGAGATGAGAAGGCAGAGACATACACCACTTATACCCATTCTGATCAGCGACTTTCACTACAGTAATAGTAGTGGCAGCAGCAGTAATAGTGGCAGTAGTAGTAGTAATGTGAGTATTATTAGTAGTTGTAGTAGTAGTGTGAGTAAAGAGAAGATGAGAGGAGTTGAACCAGAGTTACTTACCATTTATTACTGGATAAATTTTTTATTCTCCATGACATATGCAAACGAGCATATACAAGAATGCACAGGTGGTGTATTCTACATTTATACCAGCCACTTGTATCCTGCATATTATGAATGCATGACACAGGCAAAAACACACAATACATAGAAATTCACATCCAGCATAAACTATATTTTTCGACGAAAAAAATATTAAAAGGATTTAGAAAATGATTGAAAAGATTTCTTCTTCTTTAAAAATATGCGCCAACAACTGACTAGATGTTACTTCCGTGTTTGATTTTTTACTCGGAAAAGATTTTTCTCCTCTTTATTTCTTCTTCGACGCTTTAACACACAATAAGGTGATGGTAAAATAATAGCGCTACCTCATTTACATTGACCCAGAAGGAAGTACGTCTTAGACAAAGAAGGACTTTTCAACAGGAAAACAAGATAGAAAAGAAGACAGTCAACATCTGTAAATATGTGTGTGATCGAATGAATTTGTGGAGAAAAGAAACGGAAATGATGAAAAAGAAAGATTTAACTTTTTCGCCTATAACTAACAATATTATTAATATAGTAATGATTACTACTACTGTTATTATCAATGCTACTACTACAACTACCTATCAGTTCTATTTATTGTCTTATTCACTTCTTCCCGTCCCACACCCTCAATCACCTACTGACTAACTCACTAACCATTCTCATCAAACATCGAGTGCTTTCTCCAAACACCAGGTAGGCATTTAGGACAAACTTAACATCTACCCTCATGCACTTGTGCTGTTTTTTATAGAGTTGTAGTTGTGTACAGAATTAAACCTCTTTCATTTCTAAAGATACTGGTAGTGGTTAGAATGACGACAATGTTGATGACGAAGAATAACCTGATGATAATGATGTTGGGGGTGGTAGTACTGATCGAAGTGAAGATGAAGATGGCGCTCAAAGTGATTCGACAAAAATGTTGCCTTCATTTCTAATTTTCTTTTTCTCACAGTCAACGGAAGAATGAGTGAATAAAATGAATTTTTTGTCAGTAAATTCTAACAATTGCAAAGAAAAATGACGGAGGTGGGTGAAAGAAATACGAAGAGAAACGAGATTTTCTTTTCAAATGAATATTATTACTACTACAATTATCATTATTGATATTTTAAAACGAGGAAATAGATACAACAAGAATGATTATTACGATGATACCACTAATCATAAGTCTCGCTCGTTCCCAACACCATTCTTTGTAGTTAGTACCGAGAATAAACAAAGAACGAAACAGTCTCTTTCTCTCCCTTTCTGTCTTCTCTTCTTGTTTTCTAACTCCCGGAAATATGTGCCAACTTAGAAGGAAAGAAAGAATAAGTTGAAAAATAAAAATATAAAGGAATAAGATGGAGGAAAGGAAAGAGAAATCATCGGATTTTTAGCTGACTCAATTCTTGTTGTTTTTGTGTTTTCTCGAACTATACTTCTTCAGAGTTTCATCATCTACTTCTCAAGTATTTTGATCAACTTCTCAGTTTATTCTGACTGTTCGTATTGTGAACACTGACGGATATGAGACAAGTGAGAGACAGACAGTGAGAAAGGAAGAAAATATCATAATTAGTAATTCTTCTAAAACTGCCTGATCTAAGAACAATTCACGAGTCCGCCACCGGTTGACATTGCTTTCGCGCCTGCTGGGAGTGAGGTGTATCTGCAACCATGTTTCCACAGTGATCGAACCTACATCAGTCATGATTAACGTCATGGGCTTTATCCCGACAAACACATTACAAATTCATTTGTGCTATTGGTTAAATAATTAAAACAGGCTTCAAACTATTTTACAGTGAAAATAAAGTGGGCACGAAAACTTTGTCCATAGCACTTTGAATATGAGTAGTGCGACAAAAATACTTGCTATTAAGATGTATGTTAAGACATTTTGACTAAATTAATTTCTGTAGATTAATAAATCACTTTGAACAACTTTAGAAGAAGGTTAGTTGTAAAGGAATGGCTAGAAATAAGTCATTTACTTCTTGTATAGTAAAATTATTTCATCTGGAAAATACAATCCAGTGAGTGGTATGATAAAGTTTTCCTACAATTCTCAGTACAAGTGGGAGGAATTTTCAATAGCAACAGCTATACATGAAATGATTTCTGTTAGAATCACTCTCCAGTGCCCATGAATAACCTTCTTCTAGATAGATTTCTTGAATTTCTACTGAGCTATCTTAACGTGAAAGGATAACTAGGCCAAGTTTGCAGGAAAATACTGGCTAACTATGTTGCACGTTATTCGCGCTACACCTCAAAGTGAAACGGATGACTGAATTATGATCCAATGGTTGAATGATAAGGCGCTCGCTAGGAGGCTTGGTGTTCCTTGGTTCGACCTCTTGTAAGATTTCAAGGGTAGCGTACTGCTCAGAAGTGTAGGATGTAACACTCATCAAATGCTACCTACTTTTCAGTAGTACTCTAGATGAAGTTAACTGGCGATGAAAACTTCTTTAAAATCAATCATCTACCACAAACTAATGACCAACTATCTTGTTAACACTCGTGAGGTATGTAAAGTTCCAAACAGAGTCCGAGGTAACATCAGTAAGAAAATAGAAGAGGTAACCGTAAACAGGGACTTCAAAGAAGTTGGCTCAGATTAAAATCGGTAGTCACTTAGCCATGATAAACACTTATGCTGGATTGAGTTTTTAACTTGGCATCGACTTTAACCAGGTATGCCTTGTGACTTTATCCCTGAAATGATTTGACATATGAGAGAATTAGGCACTGAAACATAACACTTTGTGAGCAGAGACTGAGCGATTTTTGGATAGTTGGTAGCGTATTTAGGGAACATTTAAAAGTCTGTTCAATATGTCTGTTTCAGGTTTTTCGTGAAGCTGGATTTCCTGAAAGAAGTCTTTCCATAATACGGAAAATCTTCACAGGCAATTACTAATTTATTCTAATCACCTGACATAAAGTTCATCTTACTGGAAATTCATATATAGAGGTGATCGAAGATGCATCAGTCTGTGAAAAACTTTTTTTACCGTACTTAAACGTTTGAATAATTAGACTGCAGAGGCAAATTAAATTGAGTGATAACTCTCGAAAGATATATTCCCCAACTCCCTATACTAACAGTTTGTGTAAGCGAATCTACAACAGACAACATGCATCAGATAGCGTAGCTTTAGACGTTGGGGAAACCGGTGCGGAATATTACCACTGAAAAGCGTTAGGACCTCATTGGTGACAAATTCGTGAGACCACAATACAATCAGGACATCATAAATTATTTCACTGGTGTATCTTTATCCAGAAATCAGTAGGTAAGCAGTTATCCTGAACTTGAGCCGGTTGTTTCTCCATATTCCTAATTATAGAGGTTAAGAAATCTGATATACACCGAAACAGTGCGAAATCCTGGCACTTAAGGGGTCAATAATTATCTGAATAGCTTATTAATGAAGTCACTGACTTCAAGACTCTGCGAGAAAAATATGAATTTCCTCATCGTTGTTGATATACGTTACTGATGAACACCAGCATGTATGAAACTCATTGACTGACTTTCAGCATTTAACATCGAGCGCATTGCAACTTAAAACCATTTCAAATGGCCTATTATTTACATTGCAGAGCTGATGAATAGACCTCCGTGAGCTTTGAGAATCTGGAACCTACTAGCTTCATCTGTTCGAACCGACGATCAAATCATCTACAGCAAAGATTTACCAGAAAATCAGTTAACAGAAGTATAACAATGACATATTTGACTATTCGTTAGAAAATCCTCTGAAAATGATTGAGTTAAATTTAAAAAAACCCGATTATTCAAACTGTTGAATAATGATTTCCAAAGTGATGCCAAAAGAAATCATGATAACTTGAACATTAATCCTAGTGACATGTAATTACTTTCACGTCAATAGTAAGTAAAATAAGGAACACGGAAAACAAACAAGCATACTGGAAGCAAAACAAAAATTTTCACTGTGTACTTACCATACGCAGTTCATGTGAACAGCTGATTAGTTGGTTTTGATAAGATTCTGATAGCGTTATTCCATTCGATTCACAATTGAAACTGTCATTCAACAAGACTGATTTATCCATTTTCATACTGAACAAATTTTCACTTGAGCTTAATTTATCGTATAATTTGTTAATGTAACTCATCTGATGATTATGTTGTTGATGGAGATTGGCACTGGGAAGGTGGTGTTGCTGTTGTTGACGATGAAGATTGCTTTGTAAGTTAGATATACTTGTATTACTACTCGTGTGGCTGACAGTAGTACTACTAGTGTTGTTATTGTTGTTACTACTGGGATCACCAGCGGCATGGGTCAAACTATTACCAGTGACATATGTTGTGCCCGATGCGAAGGACTGTGGCATTGAAAATGATCCTGGTTTCAAGGATAATGAATATGAACCAGGTGATCTATGAAGAAAAGGTAGAGGATAGGTTTGACAGCAATTAGGATAGTTTAAAAGATTAGAATGCTGAAGGGGGGATTGTTTTCCGTGATGCTCGTGTTCTTGTTCTTCACTCTGTACATCTGTGTAACTGTGGACATTTTCATTTGCGGTATTAGCGGAGGATCTCTGGGTAATATTACTATTACTATTATTCGTATTATTTGGGAGAAGATTATCTGTAGGATCGAAGAACATTGGAGGAATAGGCGGTAGTGAGTTTGACAGACGAGAGTTTAAAAAATATATGGGGTTAAATTTTGAGAGAAACCTGCGTTGGTTGGAATCTGACGGAAAAGATGGTGGACAAATTGATGAAGAAGGTGAAACGATGGTCATAGGACTAGAAGTAATCGAAGGAGAGATAGACATTGGTGTTGAATTTGTTTCTGTCGAAGATTTATTAGCATTGTTAAAACTAGATTCAGGGAAAACAGATGACATGGGGGAGGAAATTGTACCCATAGTAGCCGGTTGTACACCAGCTTTATTGATAAAGTTTGACTTTAGTGACAATGGATAGTTTCTGAGTGTTTTTGTTAGCATCTTTTCAAACGACTCATACTGATGAAGCGAATTAACAGAACTACTCTTCTCATTGACTCTGTTATTAGTATTATAAATATTCTTTTCCAATTCTGAAGTCTGTAAACTCCCTGAATAATGTCCTTCAAGTCTTACAGGTTCATGATTTATTCTATTTGCATCTGCGACGCTTAATTCTTTTGAATTCCCAGACAAGCGCAAGGAAATCGGTGATGGACTACTGTTGTTACTGCCACTGCTATGAATTTGATTATCTGATCTATATTTCACTGAATTACAATCATCCGATCTAACATTATCATTATTACTATTATTATTATTTAGGTTAGTACTAATGGAGTTACAATATCTTGATAAGTTTAAACCAGTTACTAAGTTTTGGTTCGTAAGTAATGTTTCTTTTTCCTCTGTCTGGAATTCATCTCCACTGGAACAAAATGAGGCAATAGTAGTAGGTGTGATCAAATTGAGCGCTTTGTTCGCATCAATAATTCCCGTTGTTGACTGTGGGAATGACTGATGGTGCTGACGTTGACTGTGATGATGTGAACCACTAGAATTTGCTGATATACAGTTCGACAGTGTGTTGTTTGGATAACGTGAAACACGGGAGTGCGTTAAACGTGTATCAGTCACTTTAGTGCGTCTTCGACGACTTACATTTGATCCAGGGAATAGATTTGCGTCATGAATTGTTGGTGTAATTCGCATTGTTGTTGTGACAGTATTTGCATTTGGGTTTGTATTGCCTACATTTATACTATGGAGAAGTTTATCAGAACCGTTATTATGAGTAGTACTGTTATTAGATGTAGTAGGACTAATCGAATTTATTTTGTTTTCATATCTTACCACCAACGGCATTGCTTCCAATTGTTCATCTAACGATGTTACCGATGGTAGTGAAGAGTTTGTGTTGTTAAATGCCATTTTATTGTCATTTTGTTCACTTTCATTATTCGGCGAAAACTTCGAATTTAAACAAGTGTTGAATGCTGATACTGTGTTCACCTTATTTAATTGACTCAGCAAATTCACTGTGTTATGCATTAATGAGTTGGGTTGAAGAAGTGTACTTTGATCACAGTATTTTAGTGAGTAAGGAGAAGAGGCAAGAAATTTCCATGGCCATTGACTATAAAGATTTGTTGTCAGTCCAAAATTTTGGTGTATATCAGCAGTTAACGTTTTTGGTGGCCAAGTTAATGGAATAGGAAATCCTAGAGCATTGGCTAGAGCTGCTGCTGCAGCCGCTGCAGTACTTGGTGTTAGATTACCTGAAGCTGATGCAGAAGTAACCGTGCCGGTGGACAAGGCTGGAGTGACATTTTCATTTGAGCTGATATCACTTAATAGATTAGGTAATGGTATATGATCAACTAGTTGTGATGATAACAACGGGGCACTGACCTAAAACACAGAGATCAAAGATGGAATAAGAGAAAACCGATGTATATGATAATATTTTAGCACAATTTTTTTAATCACAGTGAAAACAGTAAACATAGCTACCTGTGAGGAAGAGTGCATTTACCTTATCTATGGTCTGATCAGATGATTAGTATCTGTAGTAAACTAATGTTAAGATAAGTTTATAGTAAATCCCTTATAAATTAGGCATGAATTAGTGGCCTACACAACTAAATAAACTTTTCTGTATCAAACGTGATAGCACACTTTACAACAACAAATTTCGTTGTCATGATCCAGACATTCTTTGAAGTTTAAAGATTGAAATATTAGTCTTCCTACCGAGATAAGCTACACGTCACTGTAGTCCACTGTATTTTTATTACTAGATTACTGAAGATATTTAGTAGGTAGTTTGACTTAGCCTACGAATATATGAAATCTTGGTAATTGAAATCTATATAGGAGATTTCAGTGATCTAAGTAGCTGAATTTTAAAGTTTCTAACCGCCTTAGCGAAGGTTGAGCATTAGAGTGAAAATGAATTTCTTCAAGGTTGCATATAATTTTTTCCTGTTTCAGTCAGAAAATCAGATATATTGTTCAGTTGAATCTTCTCCAGAAAATAAGCCTAGGATGTTCAATTCTAATGATCAGAATGTTAATATTTGGTCATGAGTTATTACTTTTTTCTAATTCAGTAAAATTTGGAAAACTGATCGAAAAATGTTACTCTAGAGCATATGCTTCAAATATTACTTTTGAGTATTCAGATGGTAATGGATATTTGTAGCTTGAGCAGATGGTTTAAGCGGTGCTGTGTGTTATGAGCTGGTTACGAAAAAAAGAAATGTTTGTAGTGATGAAGTTGTCTAGAATGATGATACTGAGAACTTAACAGTTAAGCCATCTAGATGAGAGGAGCTCAACGTGACCAAAATTAACATGTTGTCAGATACTAAACCTTCTGAAATGTAATTATACACTCATCTATGTTGATTAGTTCAGTGAATAAGAGCTGATATCTGTTGAAAAAGCAGTAAAAATAGAAAGGCTAGAAGAGTAATTTAATCTGTTGAAGTTGTGCAAAGTTAAATTTATTATTGCAAGTTGGAATACATCTATCTGTTCACTTAATTCCAGTTGTTATCAACTCTTCAGATAACAAGAGATCAAAATGGTAAATATTTTTAAACTATCTGAAATGCTCAAGATCATAAATTTAAATAAAACTTATCAGGAAGATTTATCTGCAAGCTACTTTATATTCAGCTTTTACCAATGAAGCAGCCTTTTATGCTGTTTATGAGATTTAAAAAACGAGTTGTAATCACACTTGAACTTGAAGACAACTCAGTGAGAACAATCTTTTCAATCGTACTTCAGTATGTTACAGCTGGTAGATTTCTGTTAACCTGTGGACACAGTTGGATTCCTGTGTGTGTCTAGAAAGTGGCTATCGGGATTCAGTAGTTCAGTAGATAATATAAGCCCATTTGAAGCGATGGCTGATAAATTTCGGTGTCAATGGGGAAAACATTACTCGCTGGGAGACAAGTATATTCTGCTAGCTAGTCCCGAAAGGATAAAGCGTGCGTTCTGAATTTCACTGCTAACAGATATGCATAACTGTGCATTTTACTATATTTAGAAAAGCTATCAAGTCTTTTTTTATCCATATAAGTGAACCTTCAGATTGACATCTGTAAAAACAGTTCACAAGGACAACCTCAACAACTCTCTCTTACCCTTTGAATATTATGAAGGCTAGTAGACTTCAGGGTGCATTGGTAGTGGCTTCACTTTCACTTGGGCAGAAGAAAATAATAGCTGATACTTTTATCCCTTTCATAACTAATGTGTTTATCTGATATGTCACACAGCCTTCTGTATTACCTACTGGATAACGTTTTGGACGTCATACGATATGCATAATAATATCTGTGTAATCCCAAAATCTTTTGGATAACTATGAATAAATAAGTCCTACCCAAAGCATCATTTAACAGATTAAATAAGTCAGTATGAAATTATATTTGCTATGCTGACAGATCTCTGGATCTCAATTATTGTTTAACTTCTAACCTTCACGGTCAAACAGTTCACATCTCATCATTGTATCAAAATCATCAAAACTTCTTAAAGTTATCCCTATTCATGAGAAGATTGACAAGTTGGGAGACAAACATTTAAGAATCATGCTCAGCTGAAACAAAACCTTCAGTTGGTCAGTTTCGTTGAATCATTGAACTTTTTCCTTGCACGGTTCAACAGCAAATAGGTAAGTACACATTCAGGATTCTATTTCATTGAATCTGTCAACCCAAATATATTTGTCACTGTAAATATGTTGGAAGACTGAAGACATGAACATTTGTTCATTTGAATGAATATAAACCAAACTTTGAAGTCTTGAGATCGTAGAAGAAATGACTAAATAGTTTTCTCCACGTATTCGATGAGTCACCTTGTCATAAAATTTTTCTATGCAAGCGCATGAGAGTAACGAAAACAAGGAGCAGGAAAACTGATCCGTAGAAATAAGCATGCTTGAGATGACCCAATGAACCACTCAGTAATCTATGTGTATCTTCTCCATATTTTAGTTTATCCAGAAGTTATCTACGATTCATCATGAAAAATATTTAAACTTCACCATTTCTAATCCTACTGGAGATGATTTCTACGAAATTCGAGCCAAAATCATTTCTCCACCGGAATAACACGGTGGAAAATTTATGAGATTAACTTGTGTCTATCATAAAGCAGATCTAAGCGGTGAAATTAGGCTGCTTCTATCTAATATCTCAGATTACCATCGTCAGTAATCACACTGCGCAATTCTCACCGTCACAAAGATTAGATCCTGAAGATTAACTGAAAGGTGAACTTTAAATTAACCGTTGCCTCATCAAAAGTACACTTGAAATAATGCAAAGAAAAACTTACATTACTATCTAGTAAACCATTAGATGCACTCGTAGAAAATGCACCAGCAGCCTCAGTATCACCTGATAAAATTGAAGAGAACTGTGGAAATCTCTGTCGCATTTCATGCAAGTACTGTTTAATTTGCTCATTGAAGTCAGCCATACAACAACTACTACTACTACTGCTAATGTAATCATTATGAGTAGTAGGGGTAGTGTTAATAGCGTAGTCAGTTAAATTATTATTCTCCAGCGGATCTACTGAATTCAATGAAAAATTATCAATGGGAATACTCATAAAGTCAGTTGATGTGGATGCTTTATCATCTGATGAGAATGTTGTACATGAAGAATTGGCTAACAGATTTGGTAGGTTGCTGTCCACTGAAACAGTGTAATTACCTTTTGTAGACGCTTGACAAAATGGTAATGAGAAAGATTGTTGACTGCTGACAACTGTTTCTATGTTGTTTATCGGCGGTAAATGCGGACTTTCAATTTGTATCTTTTGTTTAATATCTTTCTCGATCGGAGGCATACTAGTCAAGAGGTTTATTTGATTTTGATTGATAACAGAGGCTGTTTCTCTTGTATCACTGGTATATTTATCAATTGAATGTTCAACAGCAGTTGATGTATCTTTAAATTGTTTTTTGTCTGAATTTTTCAGCTTTTCATGACTATTATGATTATCGGTCACATTAGTTTTATTATTGTTATTCGTTGTCAAGTCTGTTGTTGAATGTTCATTTTCACTCAAGCTCATGTTAACTGATCTCAGACTTGCAAACATTTCATTTTTCAATGCTTCAATGCTTGTTCTTAACGACTGACCAACTAGTTCTGATATATGTGGTTCAAGTTTCAGGAGTGTCTGCTCAATCATTCTCTCCTCTAAAGTCTCATTTTCATTGTTACTCGGATTACTGGAGCTTATTTGTACTTTTGCAGATGTTCTGCTAAAACTACGACGAAATGCTTCCACAGCACAATGACTTAACTCATTGATCAGTTTACTACACTCAGAAGCCATGAGTATGCTTGGACATGAAGTTTTATTGATCTCTTGATCAGTTTCAGGAGCAGATTGTTTGTTTTCATTTATAGTTATGTCCAGATTGATTTCCATGTCTTTGGTTTTGTCTATTTTCACATCAGTATACTTGTCTCCTTTGTGTTCCCCTTCATCTTCTCTACTTTTACCACTATCCAGGACAGACTTTGACAGTTTCCTCATTTTTGGTTTAAAACTGTCATCGATTTCTACTTCACAATCAGTGGTGTCTTGAGTTTCCTCTTTTCCTGAAGTTTTTGTATTTATCAATTCATGATTTATATTTTGGGTGAAGTGAAAATTTTGTTGGGGCAATACTTGTTTCCGCCTTTTGCGACGAATTCCATTCTCATCTCTATCTTCATTATCAATGTTATCTTCTTGATGTTGAAGGTGATTGTAGTCTGAAGGTGAAGACGGTGATGAAGAATTTGTAGATGACTGAGAGAAGCGATTATCTTCATGAGTATCGTGAAAACTGAAAATTTCATCGTCATCATCATTATTGTGTTGGTTGAAATAGTCTAAATTTTCTTTATTATTTGAAATACTATTGAATGAATTGGATAACAAGTGGATTTGTGGGAAATTTTGTTTGAATTTGTCACCGGAGACGGTTATTTGCGACGGAGGTGAATGTACACTGATGATGGTATGAGGATTGTGTGCAGTAAAGTCCAGTGACTGAGAAATTGTTTGTGGAGATAAGTTAGGCTGTGCGTGAGGATCGGTCGCTTCTAAATATCTTGTCATTTCATGGTCATCATTCGATGGTTGATCTGTTCGATTCGATTCTAATGTAAAACAAATTTATTGAAAAGTTACTGATTATAATCAACTTTAATAATACTCATAATTGCAGTAAACACAAAAATCCTACTATCGGATAGAGTTACGGTCATGTCTGAAATTATTTGAATATCCGTTTGAAAAGTGAATATGACAATGGGAGCTTCCTTTATCCTCTTCTGATTCGTTTTAGAGATGCACATCTATGAATTATGTCAGCTTTATAGAACTAGTTTACAGACTACTGAGATTTTTACGGACCCATTGGTTACCTAACGAACTAGTGAAAACTTGTACTTTATGATGAGATGTGAGTCGGTCTTATTTATTTTTCCATATCCATTCTGTGGCAGATTATTTTATACATTCTGTCAATATTTAAACCAACAGAAGAAAAACAACACTGACTAAGTAACGATAAAACAGTGGGATACGTTTCAGAAGTGAGACACTGATTGCCCAGTGGGTGAATGTGGTGAGTGGAGTTGGGATAGGAGGTAAGTTGTGGAACAACTTGACTATGTAGCTTAAAAATCAGTAGATGTATGGTTCGGTAAATTAAGTGACAGAGCCAAATTCTGGCTCGATTTTTACCTCCATTGTGAAGAAAATGGAAGCTTAGTAGGGAGGGTGATATGCCACTGGTTTCTTCAACTCTAATCATGTTCCATGTACAACCAAGATTATTTTCAGTAATATAACCGACAAATGACTTTTTCTTTTGAATCTAAAAACGTCTGTTTATTTCTTGAAGACTTTCTGTAGTTATTGTCACGAAAATAACCATTTAGATTATATACAACTGTATTTCGCAATAGTTCTTAACCATCAGTAATAGACATCAAATTGGTTATTTCAGAAATTGTGAATCACTCTTTCAGATTACTTATTCTTGTAATCTATAATACTTAAGTGTTGATCAACCAACCGAAAGATGGGATTTGTTTCGTGGTAGTAGTGTACAAAAAGATCTTGAAAAGCAGCCCAGTAACTTTCGGCATTCTTCAGCAGAATCCACCTAAGTCTCAGTAAATACTAGTTTTCAGTAATGGAGGGCAGTGAGCTATAATAACTATGAGTGGCATTGGACAAGATTTGGAAAATGGCAGTGACTATCTGAGTGGATACCAACAATTAGTATGAAACCATATTTTACAGAGGATACGAACTGTGACAGGAATGGAGGGATCCTCAGTCGTACACTTTAATATAAGCTGAGACAAGTGTCAAATACTGTTAGAGTTGATTACTTGCTTACTTTGAGACAATAAAGTCTCAGTCTATGCTACGTCACATATTATACCAATATGTTCATATCCGATAAATAAGGGTTAGTTAGAGTCTAAAATGGATTATTTTAAAGGATTTACCATCTCGAAATAATGATGGTATTAATTCATTGCAGTGTATTTTATAAATCTGGATCTCAGACTGACTGTTTCGGGGAGTAAGCACCCAAGTGGGCAGTGAATAGAAACTTAGGAATGGATAATAGGAAAAGCGCTTCTCAGTAAATTCTTACCGTTCTGTTAATAAACATATATTCAACCATTTAAAAAAGTTAACAGATGCATTTTTGCCATCCCATAGTAGTCATAAGCATTTCCACTTAACCAGGTAAACTTCACTTGACCTTCTACAGAACCGGATGACATGTATTCACTAGTCACTAGAGAGCAACTAATTTCATTCCAGCTAAGGGCATAAATACTCACTAAAGCTTACCGATTTCGTTTACCTTGAGGTTACTAAACTCTCAGAATCAGCACCGCAATGAACTCTGATGGCTGTTAGGTGATTGAAGACAGTCGACAGGCAGTTTTGCCCTACCTAGGTTTTCTACTTGTTGATTTTCATCAGATGGCACGAAGATTTGTCAACTTTCGTGATATTCAACGTCTGCGTCAAACGACATCAAATTATTATGCTTAGAATAAGTCACGTAAATTTTCGACATATTCCTTAATCAGATAATTCTTATGTGTAATTTCAAAAAAACCTTTTCATGTATCTATTTATCGTGTTTATTTCCCAAAAAAACGAAGAGAGTTAAAAAAAAATAGTTAAAGGTAGTAAATAGGCAGAGAAAGAAAGTAATTCTCGAAAAGTTTTTCTGTAGGAGTGGAAAGAGTGCGGAGAAAGTTGCCTTTCTGTTTAACCCTCTCACTTGCTTTTGAAGAATGCCAGCACTCTTCAATACTGATATAACTTTTTTTATTCAGTGTAGCATTTAAATAAGGCTACCATAAGCAATTGATATATGTTGCATGTAAGGTGGTAAGGAAAAAAGATCCTTATTCTATGTGGGTAGGTGTATAGAAATACAGACATTAGATATATCATGTTTTAAGGATCAAATCTCTAGGGAGAATATCCTTTGTGTAGAAAACAAATTTTCACTCAATGTGTTACTTTTTATTTAGAAGAATAAAAAAGCAGTTATAGGATGATAATGTATAATCATTCTCAGTTATATTTTTATTTATGCCTGAGGAATTAATGCTTGTTTGTTTGCTTCATTTTGTGTTATTTTTTTTTTTGGGGGGGGGGGGGGAGGGAGATGCATAAAGACGGTAAATTAGATCAGTCCGAAACAATGTGGGACTAGTGAAACCTCGTATAGGTTGTCTACTCCCTTATGACCAAGAGAAACTTTTGAAAAGCTTTCGTTTTCTGTTTCCAGTCTAATTGGTTCGGAGAGTTTAAGCATGTTGAAAGGTTATTTTCATTTCTAATGTGCACTAAGGTTTAACTGAGAAGTAATATCCTTCTTGTCATATTTACTGATAATATATCAACGTTATTCTACACAGTAGAGGAGAAGAAAGGAAGAAAAATACTTCTGTGCCACTGAGAATTTATGTTCTTTCAACATATTCTTGCTAGGGTGTCAACATTTAACGTGGTGTAGAAACATACGCGCATGCACGTAGTCCCCACCACTCCATATGTCAATACGTGAATATACCTTTTGGAATTATTTCACCACGAGTTCACTTTTGCGCCATAACGCATATTTATTGGTAGTAATGCTAATCATACTAGCAGTTGGTATCCCCTGAGTAATGAGAATTTTTAGCCATCTTCATAATCTCATTACTGGGGTTGTGTTGGTAGTATTTCATGTAAGTATAAAGATGATTGCTACGAAACTTATGCTTTTCATATTAACAATTTAACATTTAGCATACAGTACACGAAATGATCACCTAACAGTAATTGAAATAGCCATTAAACTGTTTTCTTGATCACAGTCTATGGATTAAGTATAAATTATAGGTGCCAAGCCAAGTGAGACTAGCCAACAGCATACTGTGTTTTATCTCAGGTGTTAAGAGTCAGTCTTTCATAAACAAAGCGGACCTATAATGGAATGAAATTCATATTTTCCAGGTGATACAAATTTTTCCTATTAAGTGTTGACACTAGAAATGGTTTATTGGGACACTGTTCATACCCAACTAGCTTGCTGATGAGGATTACAGGTGCAAAACCCTAGCTGGTAACGTTTCTGTCAACTGAAATCCAGTATCAATCATAAAAGCATAATGCAACTCAACGATATACCATTTATTTCATCATTTAAAAACTAAGCATCAATATTTAAAGGTTCCATTATTTGTAAATATCACTATAACAAGACCAAAAGGTCACTGACTAACTTCTGAGTAGTTGTACTCGGCTGAAAGCCCCACTTGTCGTTGTGTGATGAATTTAGATACTGTGGAAATGTCCCTGAAAGCTTAGTACAAGGAATATGGTATCAGTTGTTGCATCAATTGTCGTTGAGTAGCCCATGAAATACTATACTGATCGTACTTATTATTTTGGAAGAGTTTCACTATTATAAATTTCGACCAAAAGAATTTACCACATCAGTAAATTGGGGCGTTGAAAGACATCAGTGAACACGATGATCAGTTGTACAACAACCTAAAGATATCAGTAAATTTCGCTGATCATATCAAAGTAACCCGTTATTGATGGATAGTGGCTAGTAGTGGAATCCAGGATGCCAGCTTCATCCTGTATGGGACTCGTCAGCTGGGTTTGTCAGTTTCTCAGTGAGCGATGTTATCCCTAATAAGGCTCGAACTCAGGACCAGTCACTTCAAACGCTAGAACGTTACCCAATAGGCCATTGAGTCACTATAGTCGATCCTCGCACTATGGGTAAAGCATAGTCTTTCATGTTTTAGCCTGTAACGACCAAGATTCACAAGCTACAACATCGAATATAAAGAACTGCAATGTGATTACGTCGAACATATCAACAATGAGTTCAAACCATCCCCATGTAGTCAAGGGAATTGAACTGGACAAGTGTTTCATAGAATGTCAAAGTGTCACATTAGGTTTTAACGACTGTATTTTGTATCTGAATCCCCCTCCTGTGACTTCACCCTTGGCGACGAAGTCATACACTAGCCATGGCGAAGAACAGAAATTCTTAATCCCTAAACGGAAAATTAGCGATGTGATTCATTTGAAGACAGAGTTCTGACTTAAGACTGGTGGAAACGAAGAAACCGTTAAAACTTATACGATACTGTAGTCATGAGGAAGCATTGCTGAAGAGTGTCAGGTTATAACGAAACATCCGATAAGTACTGCTCTGTTCTCATTGTTTCCCCAGTGTAATTAGTAATTGTGTAAGTCTTTTGAACTGAACATACAGTGTGCTATTGTCATGAAAAATGTTTCCAAGCTTCAGCCATTTTACAAAAAAATTTCAGGTACAGTTAGTAGTTGACATTCCCCCTTGTGTTATGTAAACCACCGTTCTTTATTTCGTAAAACTGAATTATTACTTAGTTATCCTTTTTGAATCACGTGTCTGCAGAAGACACAGTCCTCGATGAGCGAGATGTGACCAAATAAGATCCAATTAGGGAAGTTCACCACGGTTTCTTTGAAAATGATAATATTCAGATCACAGTGTGACATGACATGACAAACGACACTTTGTGATGACTGAAAGTGGAATGGAAATTTAAGCCGCTAA